ACACTTGGTCAACAAATGGGCACTCTGTTGTTTTAATACAAATTAGAATAGTCACCCGTGTATTGCACGATGAAAAAGGCACCAATTCATATTCAAAATTATTTATCTTTTAAAAAAAATATCATTATAATTTGACATGTAACAATACTTTGAATATATTTATTAAATTTATATCTTATTTTTAAACATTTTTAATATTCTTTTTTTACAGAAACTTTATTTATAATAGAAGACAAAAAATGACATTTTTGATTAATTTTTGAAGTCCTGCTCAAAAGCTCCCAATATATCATTTGATTGATCTAGAAAGAAGTCGCGTTGACCAAAAAAAAAGAAAAGAAAAGAAAGAGGTTTCTCCACAGTTTTGTAATTTAATTTAGATTTGAATTCTTCTATGCTGTTGACTAGTATCACAGAGGTGCAGTTTGAATAAATTTTGGTAGAAGTATTAATAAAAGAAAAAAATTAAATAAATGCTTTTTATAATTTCAATCAATTTATATAATTTTCTAATTTTCTAATTAATTTTTCACAATATAAACTGTATAGATTAATTTCAATTTATATAGAAAAAAATATTTATTCTATCTTATTATTTTATTATAAGTATTTCTATAAAAATTAATCCAAACTAAGTTATAATTATGTTTAGAATAAAGATAATTTTTTTATTAACTTTAATTAATAAATTTTATAACTAATTAAAGTGGTTTCTCATCTAATAAAAACTTATTTTTTTTAAAGAAAATAATGTCATATTATTCATCAAGAAATACAAATAATTATGCAAAATAAATAAAAATAATTTATGAATTTTGTTAATTTGAACCTTTAAAATTGAATTTAAGTAATTAAAAATAATAATTTTATTAAAAATAATAAATTATAACAGCAAAGCCATAAAACTATAATAAATTTTTAATAAAAAATTATTATTTTTAAATACTCAAACTCAATTTTAAATATTAAAGTTAACAACTTTTCATAATTCAAACATATAAAAAAAAATCTGAGTTACTGGAATATACAATTCACAATATATATATTAAAATTTAAAAAAGTATAGAATTTTGCTCTGTCATTATCTCCGGACACTGAACAATTATAATGTTGAATAGGGAAATGGAATGTGTATAGGCTTTAATGATTTTAGTTTTACTTTAGATGGCAAAACTGCTTATGGAACTGTGCATTTATCTTGCAGGCTTTGCCAGTGAAGGATCTAAGACTTGCCTTTTAAGCCATGGCTACTAAATTCCCCTCTTTGTTTTTCACTATGCACCATTCACAAAAAGAGACAAACAATAACCACTTCAATATCTTTTCCACCAACCAGCCACCACCAACCACGGCTTATGCTGCAAACCACTTTCAATCCTCAGAGATACACCCACCCAACATGTACAAAGTCATACACTTCAATTTACAATAAGGTAAATATTAAATTTTATTTTTCTTTAAAAATCAACACATTATTTGATAAATTAATTACTAACTAAATTCATTTTATATTAATTTAATTAAACTAATAATGCATAATTATTTAATTTAATCTATATTCTTGACTCTAAGTAGTTTTATTCGATTCGAATTGTGTCTAATAAAATAAAAAGAATGAAAATAACAGTGTGATGTTATTGTTTTGGAAAAAGAAAAGATAGACTTTGATAGACTGTGCCACTTGTCAAAAGTAAATGGAGACATCTATCATTCCCTTGTGTTTGTGTGGCCTTTTCAAGTTCTAACATTCTGGTGGACAATATCTTACCAACCCATTCCAAAGTGACATATTTTTAGCCATTTTTCTACACAAATTTTTAGATCATTTTTTACTTTGGCTAAGAAAGAAAATAGTTTTTGTCTTAAAACCATGTTCTTGGCTGCCCTTGTATTTACTCCGAGGTGTGAGAGTTAGGTTTTTCTTTTCTTTTCTGAAGGAAAAATTTACAATTACATACAGGGATCGTGGAAATGATTTTGTACTCTGTTCATTCAAATTGAGAAAATTAAGGGGCCGATAGAGGAAAATAAAATCACGTGATGATTAATTATACGAGTGATTAATTTCATCTTAGTTGATTTCCAATATGATGAGTTGCTAATAATAATGCAAAAAGTCGCAATGATCTGAACTTTAGTTTAGATTAAACTTTAAGCTTCGGCTATCCTTGGAAGTTTGGCACATAGTAACATGCCACGTAAAAATGAAGGCATTGGATGATATTGATCCACTATGATGTATCATATCTCTCTAAACATTTCAATTAGCATTAGCCATGGACAGAGATAAAGATCACACACATGAAGATGAGATATGCTTATGCTTATGATTACGAATGTAGATGATATATGGTTGCTGATACTTATGAGTTATAGCTGAAAGGAAGACACGTTGAAGAGGGTGGAGAGAGAGAAGATTCAGTGGAGAGAGGAGGAGTGTGTTCCAAGACACAATGATTACATGGTCTTGGGGAAGCAGAAAGGGTGGCGTGGACATAGCAAGAGTATAGAAGAACGTGGGGGGCTTGACCGAGGTACGAAGGAAAAGGAAACACCTAAAGGCCATTGGGCTAAAAATGCTCCAAAAGAAATAATAAAATAACAACATTTTTTAACTCTCTTTTTTTGTAACTCTTGTCAGTGTTATTTATTTATTAAAAATATTATTTTATTTTAATAAAATTTTATTATTAAATATTATTGTGTACTGTTAAAATAATATTTAAATTTAACATCTATAAAATTATCTACAATACTAATTAATTAACAAAAATTTTAGCCTGTATATAAAGATATGTAATAAATAATACTTTTTAATTAAAATTATTATATTTAATATTTTTATTATATCTCTTTATTTATAGTTTTAAAAAATTAATTGCTAATTAAACATGATAATAATAAAACTAAATAACTTTATTATTAATCTTTATACTCATATTTAAAATAAAAACTTATATCTAAATTTATATCAGTCTATGCAACAATTTTAAATTTTAAATTTTTATTTATTGTCATTTATATTTCTATGTATAGATCTATTATTATTTTAATTAACTTAAATATGATAATGTATTATGTATTTATTTAACAAAAATAAAATATAAACATTATTATAATTTTAATGTTAGCAATAACAAAATCATTGATTAAAAAGATACATACATAACCTAATTAAAAAATGTATTTAAAGATAATCAAATTTTTAATTATAAGATATAACAAATATATTATTTCTACATAAATAGAATTGAGAAATATAATATTTATGTCTATAAAATTTATAAACAATTACTCATTCAGGTCAAGCTCCATTTAATTGATAAATATTTCATTTATTGCAAAAAATTATTATTATAAAACTATAATTTTTAATTATATTATAGTTTGCGTTTATGTAATAGTATATATATATATATATATATATATATATTATACTTTGAATATATTTCAATTAAATTTTTAATAAAATATTAAATAAATAAATGACATATTCCACAGAATATATTTGAGTCTGACATAAGAAAGAAAGCAAAGCGTCGGCTAAGCATTGAATCGTGATGATACTCTCAGTCTCTTTTGTCTTTGGTCGGTCCACAATCTGTGTTGTGTGTCTTCTCACTCTGGTTTCGTTGTGTTTCCCGTCTCTTTCTCCATTTCTCTCTCACTCGTAGCTTATGCAAGTTCATATATAAACAAATAAACTCTATGGTTTTTCTATTCAATATCAATATGCGTGCATAAAATATAATAGTTTACAAATTTAATTAGAATGTATTAGCAATCCAAACATATTTTTATACTATCAGTAGATTAAAAGTTGTACTTATAATTTGTAGATAAGTATTATAATAGTCAAACTTCTTTAACAATTTAAAAATAAAGCACAGAATGAATTGATAATATAATATAGTCGAATCTAAATAAAAAGCATATAGCAGTGCATGGATAATTAAGAAAAGATCGAAAGAGAATGAAAGTTATAAATTATAATAGGTAGATGTATAAACAGAAAATGGTGAATGGCGTAAGAAGAAAGGAAAGTGGAGTAGCAGCACTCAAACAGGGACAGCGTATGTTATGTTAGAGGGTGATGGTGGGCAGAAGGGTGCAGAGAGAAGATTAGGAAGAAAAAAACAAAGAAACCAAAAGGAGACCAACAAAGCACAAAGGAAAAGGAAAGTTTTGTTGAAGGTAAAAGGATCATTACATTGCCCCGCACAAAGGTTTGTGGCAGAAAAACACTACTAAGTGAAAGAGATTTGACAATAAGGCAGAGAGAGAAAGCGAAATCCAAAGCCTTGGACTTTTCTTTCACCGCCCACCACCACACACAACACAAACAAACAAAGTAACTCATTCATTCCTACCATCATCGAACTACAAAGCACATTTAAACACCATATCTAATCAGTCATCACACATCAAACAAAGGGAAGGTATGTATCCTACTTCATTTTTATTATTATTATTTTCACCTCTTTATATAATTATATATATTTCATTTTTACATTTATTTAATGCTCTTGTTTATTTATTATCTCTTCTTTATTATACTATTCATTACATTTATTATTCTCATTATTAATACAAACCTTTATAATTAATTTAAATTATTTAAAAGTAGTATAATTTTATTAAAAAAAAGATAATTTGATATTTTTCTTTGTATATTACAAGGTATATACAAAGAGTGTGAAAGAAAAAAAAAACATTTTTCATCCCAATTGTCCCTTCTTGAAATACCCTTTTCATTTTTATTCCTTGTGGAGTGTAAAGAAAACTTCTCCGAACTCTTTATTCTTTCAACCCTCCTTTTTCTCAGTCATATCAGACAAAAAAAAAAAAAAAGATAGAGGATACAAAACTAAACCCACCTCAGCTTCTGACATTTGAATCTCAAAATTTCTTTCTTTAATTATTTATTCTTTTTTCATTCCAACAAAATATTCTTATATAAAGCCTTGGAGTTTGTATTATTCTTCAATAACTAGAGTTCATATAAAACAGGAGCTACAGGCCCTAGGGAGATGATACAGGAAGATCAATTAGGACAGTGTTCTTCTTCTCAAGCGATCAATAACTTCCATCAGAGCTATCAAGAGCAGTTTCTCCTTCAGCAACAGATGCAGCAACAAAACAGTGATATCTTTGGTGGAGGAAGAGGAGGATTGAACATGTTCCCCGGTGAAGTTTCTCCAATCTTGGAACCATGGTCTATGCCTCCGGTTCACCCCTTCAACCCGGTGAGAGAGCACGACCCTTTTCTTGTTCCTCCACAACCTTCACCCTATGCAAGTTTGTTCAACAGAAGGGCTCCTTCTCTTCAGTTTGCATATGATGGTTCATCTTCTCATGACCATCTTAGGATCATATCAGATAACCTTGGTGTTGGGCAGGTGGTTCCACCCGGTTCAGCACCCTTTGGACTCCAAGCCGAGTTGGGCAAGATGACAGCTCAAGAAATCATGGAGGCTAAGGCTCTTGCGGCTTCCAAGAGTCACAGTGAAGCTGAAAGGAGACGCAGAGAGAGAATCAATAACCACCTTGCCAAACTCCGCAGCTTGTTGCCTAGCACAACCAAAGTAAGTATTATTAATTAATTAAATCTTGAAATTAGTTAAATTCTTCCCACAATCCACGTATTCAAATTAAGATGTATACGCTATATGTTATAATTATAAATTATGTATTAGTAACTAGTGTTTATAATTAATCTTGTCAGCCTCATGAAAAATGCAAAACTGGAATAAAAGATCAATCTCATATACATATTATTATCACGCGCCCCTATAATATGATCTTATTTGTATAAACAATAGTGCAAGAGTTGTGTTATGGGGCGTTCTTTCTTTGTGGACTTTTCAATTCAAGAACTATTTGTAAATCTTTCCAATATTCTATCTGTTACTTTGGTCTGATAGGAATAACAACCCAAATCAAAATCTAATAACCTTTTAGAAAATGAGGTGCAAAGGGAACTCGTTGTTTGCCTGCTTTTTTTTTTACCACCCTTTTTGGCTTTGTTAGTTCTTGTTTCATTTACACATTGTTATATTCTTCTTCTTTTTCTTTTTGCCTTAATTCTTCACGTTAATAACTTTAATTATGCACATGTATTCTTTCGGAGTGCTCTTTGAGTGGTAGTTCCGAGGAACAGCTAGAAAAAGTATACTAGTAATAAAAGATGACATGAGAGAAAAAGTGTATTAGCGTTAATGTCGCTTGGTTGGCATGATAAAGAGGAACCAAGTAGCAGTTGAAAAGCTTCGCATGGAAAATTCTTGCCGGATAATGTTGATCAGTCAAACTCAGTTTGAGAATGAAAAGAAATAAAGCCAGAGACAAACTAGCACCCTTGTCAGTCACACACAAACACACACACACACACACTAGTCTATTTACCCATCTCATCTCATCTATAATATGCTGCATGACACTTCCACCATTCAAAGACACCCACTACTTCCATTTCACAATCATCATATGCTATTACCTACCAACCTCATATAACAACTACAAAGCCCCACCATTTCTTTTCACACCATAATATATTGTACAATTTCAGTGCCTTAATTTATCATACTATAATTAAATATGATATGATATTAGTAATTTATTTCTTTTTATTACTTCTTTTGTGTAGACAGATAAAGCATCATTGCTAGCAGAAGTGATTCAACACGTGAAGGAACTGAAGCGTCAAACATCGTTGATAGCAGAAACGAGTCCAGTTCCTACCGAGGCCGATGAGTTAACAGTGGATGCAGCTGATGAAGATGGCAAGTTTGTGATCAAAGCCTCGCTTTGTTGTGATGATAGGTCAGATCTGTTGCCTGAACTCATCAAGACTTTGAAAGCGTTGAGGTTAAGAACCCTCAAAGCTGAGATCACAACGCTTGGTGGGCGTGTCAAGAACGTGTTGTTCATCACTGGGGAAGAAGACTATTCCAGTAGTAGCAGTGAGGAGCATGGCCACCAACAACAGTATTGCATTAGCTCCATACAAGAAGCACTTAAGGCAGTGATGGAGAAGAGCCTTGGGGATGAGTCTGCCTCTGCAAGTATTAAGAGACAAAGGACCAATATAATATCAATATCCTAGAACCAAGGTCTTTATAAGTTTTATTTAACTGAAGGCCTATAGTTCTTATTATCGTACTTAGTTGTTATATATTATATATTTTGATTAATCTATTTTTGGGGGGTGTGGTTTGTTTTGTTTTGTTTCTATTATTACTAAATGGGTGTGCTGGAAAATATAATTACTATGTATCATCTCCATCAACATCATCATCATTAAGCAAATGTAATGATAGTGTGGTGGTTTTTTTTTTTTAATGTGCTTTGTTGCTTGACACAGCTTGAGTTGAGTCCAGTGAGACGAAGAAAGGAGGGTAGGGAGTAAAGCAGGGAAGAATCTTTTTCGTGTGAAGAGAAAACCTTATATCAAATCCTAACATGGAAAACAACATATTCGTTGCCATGAGAATTGAATCCACATATGTAGTAGCTGTTAATTATTGTTAGGGGCTCTTGTTTGGTCTTGAAGTTTTCGTGCACCTTAGGTGCATCACATTATAATAGTCACCAAGGTAAGGTAAAGTAAACAGGCATGTGCTACGTCCCCGTATAAGACCATGTCTATAGACTAAAATCACCTTAGTCCAACAATGCTTTCCGTGGTAAACCATGCACTTCAGTACATAAAAAATCTTAGATAGTATTAGAACAATGTAATAAACAACGAGACTGCTTAATTATTTCTTCATAGTTGCTAGCTAGAGGTTAGAAGTGATGGAATATATATTGATCAATTCCATGCGAAATTTTTTTGAATCCGTACAAGTTATTTTTGGGATAATTTTTTTTTTCCTTGGTTCTTTTTATGGTGACTGCATGTCTGAAAATTAATTCTTAGGTGGAAAGTTTCTTACCATAAGAATTCAAACTAAATAACACTTAGCATGTGTAAAGTTATTGAGTACCTATATATGATTATATAAAGATCATATCTTAAGATTTTCTTTACTAGACATTGACTTAAATTACAAATAACGATTATGAATATCAGATATGTGATATATGTAGCATATTTTTTATTTACAAAGATTGAACCTACGTTATTATTTCAAAACTTTATTAGTACTTAGTTTTTTCTATGTTGAAAAATATAAATAACTTAGTTTTTGTGGGAAAAGAGCAATTTTAAAAAAAAAAATCAAAATATAGATAGTAATAATATAAAATAATTTTAAAAATAATTAAAGTTGAGATTTGATATTTTAAAACCTGAATATATATTAAAGGAAAATATAAAATCAACCAATAATTTAAGAACTTTTAAAATAAGAATATTAATGCTAAAAGTCCTGGATCACAAAGAAAAATATAATAAAAATGATTTTATAACTAAAAGTAAAATTTAAATTTATAATGTAAGAATTAATTTAATCCATCATTCATTATTGGATCAATAAAAATTTTCACATTTGATTATTGTAAATAACATATTATATATGATGAATAAAATAGATGATGTGATATAGATAAAAAAAAAATTAAAACATATTTATAAAAATTTATTATGTGTATCATACTCTTAGTTAAAAAAGTAAATAAAAAATTTATTCAATATAAACCTCAAGAAAAATAATATCTATTTATACTTATATAAATCGACACATATTGTTGTGTTAAAGAGGTTTGATCCAACTTATACACTTAATCACTTATCGATTTTCTTTTAATTTGGTTAACTTTAGACAAATCTTAGTATTTTTATAACAATTTTGAGTGAAGGCTTAACTCTTGGAAAGATTTACTTTTGTAAAATTATGGAATTATTTATTAAAATAATAATAATTAAGATGCAAACAATTATATAACTTTATTAATTATGTTTAATTTTTCATTTTTACTCTTTAAATAAATTAGCCCCTTATTTTTATAGTAACTAAACCGTTCAAGTAATGAATATAATAATAACTAAAATTAATAATAAAATAAATATTTAAATATATTTTGTCTCACAAATTAATAAATTTTTGTTTTAATCTCTCCAAATGATTTTTTATTTTAATTCTTATTTTTTTATTATTTTTATTTTTATTCTTTAAAACTACTGTAGTCAAATCAAAAAGTAATATGTGACAGTATCTCAACGTATCATATTAATATCAAGACCTAAAAACAAAAATTTATAAAAAAAAAAATAAAGACTAAAATTTTTGTTTAAAGAGACAAATAAAAAATTTATTAAAATATGAGGATAAAAATGTATATAAGCTTAATTAAAATAAATTTAAATTTATTTCGTACAATAAAATAAGCCGTGAGTTTAAATACATTGGAATGATCAGGTATATAGGAAGCGTTCTAATATTTTCTATCTTTGGCAATTTTTTTGCTCTTTAGAAATGGGAGTAAGTCAAGTTGATCATTAAAAATTTATAACCTAACTGGATTTTTTTAGACAGATTTGATCAATTATCGAATAGGATAAGTTGAGATATTTTAAAAGTTTACTTAATTAAAAAATTCATGTTAATTTTCAATGATTTAAAAGTTTTAAATTAATAAATTAACTTATGTAATTTGTTGTTATATTACATTAATTATTAAAAGAATTAATATTAAAGTAAATGCAATATTCATGTCTATGTCTTGTCTCAGGTCATTTGTTTCCATTTCCTCTTTCTACCAAACCAGATGTTGCGACGCAAACACGGAAAAGAAGCACACCATTATTCAAGTGAAAATTTTTGCTATACACCACCTTTATCTATATTATGAGAACATTGACTAAACCCAGAGGCTTTTAATCAAATTATTACCAATAAACTATTTCATGTAAAAACAAAAATCAAAATTAGTTGAACATATAAATTTTCATGTAAAAACTCTTTCATCTATGGAGTATGATCTATAATGCAATGAGGTCATCCCCCACTGCTGTGCTTAAAGAGCATTGAATATATTTTTATAACATTAAATGCATGTTATTAAAGTAATCTAATTATTTAAAAATAATTATGAAATGATTATATATTTTAAATACAGTGAACATTTTTAAAATTAATTTTTCTTAATGGTTTTTTTAATAATTTGGCTTTTATCTTTAAAAGGTCAAGTTGTTACTTATCAGAATGTTCCTTCTAAAATACTATTTCTATAATATAATTTTTCAATTTATAGTAATAGATCGATCATTCAAAAATTTATTTGTTACTTATTTGAATACGAGAGACAGATTATTGAAGCATATATTTTTTATAATTTAATATATGTACCCAAATAATAAAGTTATTAATTAGAACAATTTTTCATGAAACACCATAAATAACAGCGTGTGTTGTTTTATTTATTTTTTCTTTTAACTTCTGATATAATATGAAACAAAAAATGGGGGTTATAATCAAGATTTCTAGTATGAGTCATGGTTTTGTGTATGGAAATTGATAACCTGATTATTACATATTGGGCTTTAGGCCCACGTAAATTATTCATCTTTCTCGTAAAGAAATATCACACAATCAAAGTCGCAGGTCGCAGAAATTAGCAAAAGGAAAAAACATTAACTTTTGGCCCATGCAGGTCTCGAACCTGCGACCTTGGCGTTATTAGCACCACGCTCTAACCAACTGAGCTAATAGGCCGATGTTACATAAATCCCGTTTGTACATTAAAACAATGGGCAAAAGACCTTTCCACTTTCGACTCAATGTCGAATATTAATTGTTGATATTGGGTCTTGGCATTTGCTGCTCTTCATTTTTCTATTACAAGATAATTCAAATGATCATCAAGTTTTATCTTTTAATTAAAAATCAACCTATACTCTCCAATCCGAATCCAAAAATTTTACATGTGTGAGCATAAAAAAATATTGTTGACCAGTATTTTAAAATATTAATTAAAGAATCAATAAATGATAAATTAAAAAAATATAACTTCTATCTCTTTCAAAAAAAAATATTTTTTAGGTAATACTTTTAATATTTTCTTTCATTAAAAATTTGATATCAAAATTTAATTAAAAGTGGGGAAATTTTTGGCATCTTTTTTCTTCACTAAAAAATTAAGAGACTATAAATTTCATACCAACTCATAAACTAGGAACAAAAAATACTACCTAGACGAGTATAGTGAAATATGCTATAATTAAAATTTGAAAGAAACTAAATTACCTTGTGCTAATAATAATCGTATAAATAAAAATATGGTTAAAATATACAAAGTAAATAAATAAAAGTCAATCAAATACATTTTTATTTAGGCTTGTAAGGATGAATTTATAACTAAGTGAGAAATTAGTTCTTAATGGCTATTATTTTTTTTTCTTTTTCAGATCTATATCTATGATAAGGTAACAATGTTATAATAAACAAATTATTATTATTTATTTGAAAGTGAAAAAAATAATATTTTTATAAATATAAAAGGTTAAGATGTAAGTTTTGATTTATAACATTTTGGATATCCTAATAAAAGATAAAGTATTGGTAGATTTTTTTCAGATGGGAAAATCTAGGGTAAGTCAGCAAGCCACTTTTTCTTTTTCTTTTTATGGGGAAAGGAATTGGAAATTGGGGGAAATTAATTTAAATATAAGATTTAAAAATATTATATTTTGGAAAAAAAAACTATGGAATTTAAAAACTGCATCAACAATTTTTAAATTTCAAAGAATTAACTAATTTTATTAAAAAATGTTAATGCGTATTTTTTAATTTGATAACATTTTCTAAAATATCATACTCTAATATATATTATTTTAAAACACTATAAAAAGAGTCGAAATTGGGAGAGGGCAGTGTAAAAAATTTATAAACAAGATTTAAACCCAATTTTTATCATTGAACTATAACTGCAAACCCAACTCTAAAATGCATAAATGAAGATTTTTTTGGGTCAAAACATATACGAAGTTATCATCATGGCCGAAAATATATGGACCATGGGCCCAAAAACATTGCAATAAACCCTAAAACAAAAGGCCCTAAATAAAAACTTGGCAACAACGGCCTAAAAAGTATATTTTTCTTGCCAAAAATATATTCTATTATCATAAAATTATAATATTTTTTATCTAATAATAATAATAATAATAGAATACGAACTCGTACACACACACACATTAAAATTTTATTCTCAAAAATAAATCAGAAAAGAATTAATGATCGGAATTTTTTATTTCAATAATAAATTTTCCTCCTCACTTAATACGGATAATAACACTATTTACTAA